AGAGAGAGAGAGAGAGAGAGAGAGAGAGAGAGAGAGAGAGAGAGAGAGAGAGAGAACAAGAGAGAGAGAAGGGGGGACGACAGCCATAGCTGCCAAGCTCAGGAAAGAAGACAATCAGTGAGAAGAAAGAGATAGACGCGGAGAGAAGGAAGAAGAAAGTGACGAGGAGGGAGACGAAGTCAGCCATAGCCAGGGTGAAGAAGACGAAGGTTGTGACGAAGAAGGTCTGCCATAGCTGGGAGGTTGAAAGGTTGACCAGGGGAGTTGACCAACATTGACTGGGAGTTGACCAACGTTGACCAAGAGTTGACCAAGGGCGTTGACCAGGCGTTGACCAGAGTTGACCGGAGCGTTGATCAGGAGCATTGACCAGCGAGTTGACCAAGACCGGAGCATCGACCCAGCTGGAGCGAGAAAACTACTGGTACCACCCTTCCAAGCCCTGGCCTATCCCCTTACCCTGTGGATGTGCACCTTCACCTTGGTACCTGCTGACGTCAAGTCTGTTAGGGTCAGTCAGTCATATCTTCCCTCCACTTTTGTCCAGGTCTATAGGACTCTGTGGATGTGATTGTAGAGTTGTGAGTCCAACCCGAGTAGAGAGTACAAACCCCCTAGAAACAAACTAACTTGTACGGTCTACGTGTTGAGGCGCGAAATTGTTGTTGATTGTGCACCATCACCATGGTGGACCTCAGGTCTGGAACTAGCACCACCCCCTACAGCAAGGAGCAAGAGGAGAGAGTTGCCGCTACTTTGCGAGAGAGGAAGGAGAGAATGGAGAAGAGAGAGTTGATTAAGCAGGCCAAGATGCTGACCCTATTGGAGGAGCAAGAGGCAAAGAAGAGGCAGACGGAGGAGTTGAAGAAATGGACGAAGGAGCAAGAGGAGAGGATGGCGGCTATACAAGCGGAGATGGAGAAAGAAGAAGAAGAAGAAAAGCAGGTGGAAGAAGAAGTGTTATTGGAAAGGAGAAGAGGTGGAGCCAGTACGAGTAAGGAGGAGGAGATTGAAAAGACCACACAAGAATGAACCGCACATCTGGAGCTGGGAGAAGATAGGGAGGCCGAGCTGGCCATACCCCAAGCAGAGAGAGAGGCGGCGAGAAGGGAGTTGGAAGTAGAAAGGGACTCGGTGAGGAGAAAGGCAAAAAAGGAGGAACAACAAAGGGCATGGAGGTGGCGCCTATCCCAAGAAAGAGTTAGGCGTCTGGAAGCGGAAGAAAGGGCAGAAAAAGATTTAAAGGCAGCGAAGACTAGGATGGGGAAGATCAGCGAAGAGACTGAGATGGCCACTAAACTCGATACCCTGACCCAAAGTGTGGAGTCTTTACTAATTGCACATCGCGAGCAAACGCAGTACATCCGCAACTTAGAAGTCAAGATAGATGCGATACATGATGGGTTTAAAGATTTTGCGCGTGATATGATGAAGTACCTGGTGGACCAGGTCCACGTGGCAATCAGTAAGACAAAAGAGTTCTGCACTGGCGCCATTGAAGGCACCAAGTTAGCGACTCCTAAGGAAGAGGAGCCGGCCCCACCACGCTGTGAGAAAGTCAAGGTCCGTTTCCCCGAACCCTTGAGTGGAAAGAAGGGGGGAAATTTTGACAACTGGGAGGCCAACGTGCACTCCTATCTCTACTTACAGGGAGTCACGCCTGAGGACCACGTTTTGGTGACCTTCTAGGCTCTTCGAGATGAGGCGACCAGCTTTGCTAGGTCGCTCACCTGCGCTGCAAATTGCGAGAACGATATGGTCACCTATTCGAGACTGACACCCCTCTCCTAATTCCGGAAATCGCTCAGAGAAAGATTTTCTGATGTGACACGGGGGCTTAAAGTCGCCGACAAACTCCAAATGATATGCACTCACCAGTGGAAGAGTGTGCATGCTCTTAAGTCCACCATGGACGAACTGATTGCGGTCTCTGGGCATGGAGTAACGGGTGCCCAGCTTCTTAACTTCTTCTACTGTGCCCTGCCTGAAAATATTCAGGGACACTTCTTCGAGAAGAAGAACCAACAGGGCATGACTTATGATACTCTCAGTCGGGAGGCAGTAGCATTTGCTGCCCAAGCGTCGTCAGTTACCACGTTCTGGCACAAGGATCTCCGACCAAATTAAGGCCAAAGACAACTTGATACTGACGATGGAGGAAGGTGGTGCTGAGGAACTCCCTACTCTGACATTGAGTGGGGACTAGAGGAGAAGGACAATAGTGCTGGTCATGGGAGAACCTACGCTGTTGTCGTGGCCGAAGGGAGGTTGTAGGGAGGAGGACAAAGATCCGGCCAGAATGGTCGGGCCCCATGCGGCCGAGGACAGGGTGGCCAGGGGGTTGGCGGCAATGGCAACCGCCAAGCGGGAGGAAGGGGAGGTCCCCCGTCTAACCGTCCGCGTTTTAGTCGGTCAACCCCCAGACAAGGATGGTGGCACCCAGGCCGGCCCGAGGGCCGACCTTGGGACGATCTGAGCATAGAGCAAAAAGTATGGCAAGAATGCATCAACAGTTCTCAGTGCGTGTTCTGCAGGGACCAAGGTCATATCATCAAATTTTGCCCTAAGTATAGGGACCGTGCTGCGTCTGGGGCAGGAAAAGACAGCCGCCGGTAGGGGTTGCAACTGCCCCTACCCTAGGAGTATGTGGATTTGAGTGCGCGCGCGAAGTAGAGTCTCCCACTCCACATATCTCCATGGTAGAGCTTGCGGGCTGGCGTCTAGTAGGTTGTCCAGAGACTACTTGTGTTAGAGTCTCTCTAGACGTCTCCCTCAGAGGCTTAGCTGAGGATTTGAGAGAGAGGAAGCAAGCCTGGGCCAAGATGAAGAAGAATAGTAAAGGACGACTGATCCTCGCAGACATAGAGATATTTAGAACTAGAGAAGGAGCCCTGATGGACAGTGGGGCGACTAGGAGATATATCAGTCGTAAAGCGCTGAAAAAGTTAAAGCTAAATCTAAAAGTCCGATGCTTAGAAGAACCTGCAGTCAGCATCCTCGCAGACAACAGTAGGATGCGCGTTAAAGAGTATGCCGAGGGGGGTCACACCTACTTTCGCCTCGAGAAAGACAGGAAGGTAGAGAAAGTATTGCACTCCTTGACCCTCGTAGAAGAGAGTCTCCCGTTTGACATTGTGTTAGGCACAGATTGGGGAGAAGCAACAGGAGCCACACTTCACCTTAGAGAGCACGAGTGCAGGCTTCCTAGCGCGTCAGGCGAAGTCAAGCAAGTCCGCCTGTTCCATGAGTCCAAGGTATATAATCCCCTCGCCCATTGCTGTCTCAGCGCTCCTGCATTCGCCAGACTTGTGCGAAAGGAGCATCTCGAAGAGCAAGTGTTTGTAGCCTATGTTAGGCCGATTTCTGACCAGCCCAAGGA